GGGGTGTGTGTGTGTGTGTGTGTGTGTGTGTGTGTGTGTGTGTGTGTGTGTGTGGTGTGCATGCTAGGGGAGTATGTGGCCCTGAAACCCTGGAAAACTGACACTCACAGCTGTGGGTCTGGTTACATGCAAAGAAACAGCAGGGATCCTCTGTGAGGAGTCCAGAGAGCCTCAGAGGGGAGCCTAGGATGAAAAGGACCATGGGCCTGGGCTCCCCATTGTCTCGGTGTCACTCCATGGCCACGGTAGGGAGCAGCGGGAGGATACTCCACTGTGCTGCCCATCATGTTGCCTCTGCTTCTGCTGCAGAGCAAATGAGAGAGATATTAGGCTCTGGCTGGGAAAATTAAACAAATGAGATAGACTAAATCCCTCAGTGTGTCTGGAGAATTCCGCTAATTAGAAATCCTAAGGATGCTAACAGAGCAGACACAAAGTTCACAAATGTGGTAAAATCTCTTTTGATCTCTATTTAGAATCCTCAGTTTGCAGATAAAGACACTGGGGCTAGGTGCAAGTAGCTTATACATAATAACAGATAATGACTGATGTGCCAGGAGCTGCAATAATCCTGTTATTTGTATTTCCTTTCATTGCCCCTTGTCCTCATGAGATAGTGCTGTAGACTGCTGGGAATTCTTGGGCTCAACTCTTCCTTGGATTCCATTACATTCTGGAAAATCCACTAGAAACTACCTTTTCTTTAGATTAATCTGGTTCATATATGTTTGTGTTTTTTTTGTACTGGTGATAGAACTCAGGACCTTGGGCTTGTGAGTCAGGCAGTGGAACCACTGAGCTAAATCCCCAGCCCTATAGCTTAATCTGGTTCAAATGGGTTTCAGTTGCACTGTAGCAAAAGTCTACAACTGAGGTGTTTATACTTATTTTTCAGATGGTAAAACTGAGGCTAAGAAAAGTTAAACAAAATACCCAAAGCTGGTAAATGACAACCCCAGGTCTGTTTCATGCTAGAGTCAATATCTCTGCCATGTTGCCCTCTCTATGTGGTCTCAGGCAGGTGCATGCAGTCAGGCAAGCAAACACTGCTATTGGTCTAAAAGGAAGGAAGAGGGACGTAGGCAGGTGGATAGGTGGCAGAGACCGAGGCTGGTGACTGGACAAGCCTTCAGAGAGTGTCAGAAGTGAGGCAGCGCAGGTGCCACCCGGGGAAGAGCTCACTCAAGCATCATGGGGAATCCCCAGAGATCTGCGAGGGGCAAGATGGAGAGTGTTCTGTGCTGATAGGTCTTGAGGGAGGCAGGGGTTGGAGGAGACAAAGGGGACACTTGGGCCTCCAGCTTGGGGGCTTGGAATTAGTGGAGCAGGAGGCCAGGCTCTGGGCAAAACCATGAGCTCATGTGGGACATGTGGAGTCCAAGGTGAGCCTGACATTTCCATAGATGTAACTATAGAATTGTGGAATTTAGCTGAAGGATCTGGGCTGGAGAATTTTAGAGTTCTGAGAATAGAAGTGATGTGGAACATATGAGATCAGAGGGGCTGAACAGAAGACCAGAAAGGAAGGCCTGGCATTTGATCCTCTAGCAGGGATGGCTATCGAGGGCTATGAGAGAGCCAGAGGGGCTCAGGCTGAG